CAATCCCATTGTCCATGTCACCGACAACGATACTGAACAACACAGGTCCCAACACCAGTCCCTGAGGGGCACGTTACTGGTCAACTGGACATTGAGCCGTTGACTGCAACTCTTTGCGTGCAGCCATCCAGCCAGTTCTTTATCCACCGAGTGGTCCATCCATCAAATTGGTGTCTCTCCAATTTAGAGACAAGGAGGTCGTGCGGGACAGTGTCGAACGCTTTGCACACGTCCGGGTAGATGACGTCAACTGCTCTGCTGCTGTCCATCAGTTCCGTAGCCCCATCATAGAAGGCCACCAAATTGGTCAGGCAGGATTTCCCCTTAGTGAAACCATGCTGGCTGTCACCAACCACCTTGCTGTTTTTGATGTGCCTCAGCATTCTTTCCAGGAGAATCTGTTCCAAGATTTTGCCAGGCACAGAGGTGAGACTGACTGGTCTGTAGTTCCCCGGATCTTATACCTTCCCCTTCTTGAAAATGGGGGTTGTATTTCCCTTCTTCCAGTCACTGGGAACTTCACCTGACTGCCATGATTTTTCAAACATGAGGGACAGTGGCTTAGCAACTTCATTCACCAGCTCCTTCAGGACCTGTGGATGGATTTCATCAGGTCCCATGGACTTGTGCATGGTCAGGTTCTTAAGGTGGTCTCGAACCTGATCCTCTCCTACAGTGGGCCTAAGGTCTTCGATGTGAGGGCGATCTGGCTGCGGCATCTGTCATCCCATTGATCGCCCGGTTGATTCGGCTGATCTGGCTGGCTGGGCAGGTGTCCACTGCCTCCCTCACTGCTCCACGTGCGTCCCTCCCAAAGCTGCACGCTCAGTCGAAGAGGACGACCTTCCCCAATACAGGCAGTACTGTTCATCGGTCGTGGGTATATGGTAGCTGCGCTTTCCTGCTAGAACCTCCAAACATCATAACTGCTTACACTTTTAACCCTATACTTCATCTTTTGATGAGACGTTAAGATGTGACTTTAAAAAGGATCTGAGCATTTCTCTTTTGTGAGTTAGTAATCCTATTGATTTCAGGTAGAATCAGGTCAACTAAGATCAGAGTAAACTTTTTCAGTTAATGCTGCATACTACTAAGATAACGGTGTCTTGTTGGGTTTGGGTTTTTTTGTGTGGGTTTGGGTTTTTTTTTTGTGGTTGTTGTTTGGTTGGAGTTTTGTTTTTTTTTCAGTTCTAGGAGATTACATATTGTATGCACATCTTAAACCATAAAATTCTTCAGGAATGTCAGAATTTGCCTTTTTTCTCCCTTTTTTTCTTCCATCAGCACTAGAAAGAAAAGCAAAACTTGAATGTCTAACCAAGTGCTGAGTGTATTAATGCCGAGATGAACTTATTTTTTAATGCGTATTTCTTGGATTTTGTAGCATTTGATACGTAGCAGCGGGAAACTAATCCTTCTTGACAAGCTACTGATACGTCTGCGAGAACGGGGCAACAGAGTTCTGATTTTCTCACAGATGGTGAGGATGCTGGACATCCTAGCAGAATATCTGAAGTATCGTCAGTTTCCCTTTCAAGTAAGAATCTTCATAGTAGTAGCCAAGAAGCTCTGATCTTGAATATTAGAAAAATATTTTTTTTACTCTGAGGGTGACAAGTTGTTCAGATATTATGGAATCTTCATCCTCTGTGACATTCAGAAGCCACCTGGGCATCATCTGGGCAACCTGCTTTAGCTGTCCCCACTTAAGTTGGGGAGTTAGACAATATCACCTCCAGAGGTCCCTTCCAACGTCAGCTGTTTTGTGAATATGATCTGTACCACTTTGCTTAAGAAAAGAAACAAGCAAACGTGTTCTTTTTTGATTGAAGTCTGGCAATTGCTATATGCTAAATAATAATTTGAAACTAAATAGATGAATTAAAAACAATATGAGAATTGATGCATCACAGGTTTTCTTTTTTCCTTTGCATAACAGGTTTGGCATTTGAGAATTTAAGGTGCTCTGATTTTGAATATAGCATAAGAATTACTTTCTAACTGCAATATTCAATCTCTTTAGAGACTTGACGGATCAATAAAAGGGGAATTGAGGAAGCAAGCACTGGATCATTTTAATGCAGAAGGTTCAGAGGTATGGTATTTTCTTCCTAAGTAAGCTATCTTATTTTTTCCTGAGAAGTATAGGAAAACATTGCACAGAAATGAGGCTGAGGGAAGTGAGGAATATCTCAATATTGTTGAAAATTCATTGTTATTGCCTAGACTATAAGGTTTACATCAGCTAATTTTTTACTCAAAGAAGACGTTGAATAAAAACCACATTAACTCCATCATTCAATAAATATAATTTTCATAAGTTATTTTTTTCTAAAGCTCTTTATCAAAGTAATTTTAATTACTATATAAATGCTGCAGAAATTTAACCTCAGCTCTGAACTTAAACCAACAGTGTTTACAAAAGCTTTGAACTTAAAGCAGTTAGCATCAAAAACATCCTTTGGCAGTGGGCAGAACTATGTTCTTTTGGTATATTCTTGAACGAACAACCATCTTTAACTATTTCAAATGTGGGTTCTGTTCTTTTCACTTGTTGCTACTTACTTAACTTGCCCTAGAAGTAATAGTAAAGAACAGATTTCTAGATATTCTTTCTGAGCAACCTGTGAATATATAGGTGTCTGTCACAGATTCTTTCTTTTCTGAGTTAGCATTCCTGATATGCAAGCCATTCCATACCTTTGATCAGCTTACATCTTTTGTCCTATAGTGGTAGATTTGGGGAAATGAAGGTGGTTCTTTTTTTTTTTTAATTTTTTTTTTATTAAATCAGTACTTAAACCACAGCATTTGTCAGTTGCTGCTCCAGCTTGTTTTCTGCTATGATGGTGGGAGAAGGACTTAACTCCATAAAATAAACTTCAGATGTTTGTTAAATACAGAAGTTAATTCTATTTCAGATTTCTAGCATAGACATCAGTGCCTTTTTCTGAAATCTTTGCAGTTATACTGTACCTTTTCTGAGATTTGGAGGAATTTGAACTTTATGCATTTCAAAAATGGAGGCAAATTGTGCATTTATGCAGCAACAAAATTGTGTTCTCAGTTTTATATGTTATTTCTTTCCTAAAAATTCAGAGCATTGTGTATGTTTTTTGGTCATTACTAAGCTAAGGGCTACATTGAAATTTCTAACACGGTTCTGAGGACTCATTCCTGAGTGTAATGGTTTGTTATTTCCTGTAACTGAACTGAAAATTGGGTGGGGTTTTTATCTTGAATTTCGTATGTTGTTTTATTACACGTCTTGAGATCCTTCTGCAGTCCTTCAAAGTTGTCTCTGAATGACTAATTCTATATCATTTACTGGCGTTTTCACGTCATTGCTTGTCCCATTTTCATACTTTGCATGAACATTATGAGCAGAAGTGAACCTGGCAGATGACTTTTGCTTTCTGTCTCATAAACCCGTTTTGTGTAGGTAGGCTCAAGCATCTTACCTGTTCTTGCATGGCTGCTTAGTCTTCATGGCTTATAGCAGGGGGTGTGGGAACAGAACTTTGTAATACAAAAGGCTTTTAACAGTAGGTCTTTTTGAGGCCAGTCTTTTGTTTGGTTGGGATATTTTGGTCAGTGATCATCATCTAAGATGCTGCTTCCTTTAAACTGTTAGGAACTCAGAAATTGATACCAGTGTTTCTTTATACTTAAAGGAGGTTTAACTACAGAACAGTTATGGAATTGGTAGTATATGATTTTATGGTCTGTGCCACAAACGGCATGTCGTGGTTTAAGCCCAGCTGGTAACTCAGACCCCCCCAGCCGCTTACTCACTCCCCACCTTCTTCCTCCCCCCGCTCCCAGAGGGATGGGGAGGAGAATCAAAAGAATGTAACTCCCATGGGCTGGGATAAGAGCAGTCCAGTAACTAAGGTATAATACAAACCACTACTGCTACCACTAATAATAATAATGATAAGGGAAATAACAAGGGGAGAGGACACAACTGCTCACCACCCACCAACTGATACTCAGCCTGACCTGAGCAGCGATCTGGGCCTTCTGGGTAACTCTCCTCAGTTTATACACTGGGCATGACGTGCTGTGGTATGAAATACCCCTTTAGCTAGTTTGAGTCAGGTGTCCTGTCTCTGCTTCCTCCCGGCTTCCCCTTCTCCCTGGCAGAGCATGAGACTGAGCAAACATTACTTAGCAACAGCTAAAAACATCAGTGTTGCCAGTGTTGTTCCCAGGCTGAAAGTCAAAAACACAGCACTGCATCAGCTACTAAGAAGGAGAAAAATGACTGCTATAGCTGAACCCAGGACACCGCATAAAGAAGTGCCATACTGGTTCCTTTCAGAATATTGCAACTATTATATATAAAACTACTTCTTATTTTATGATTTCAGGATTTCTGCTTTTTACTGTCTACCAGAGCTGGAGGATTAGGTATCAACTTGGCATCTGCCGACACTGTAGTTATATTTGATTCTGACTGGAATCCACAGAACGATCTGCAAGCACAGGCTAGAGCACATAGGATTGGACAAAAGAAACAGGTATGCACGTTCAGCTTTTAAGCTCCAAACCTGAAGGAGGGTTCTGTACAGTTAGCTGTTTGCTTTTGGTCAGCACCATTCAGTCTTCATATATTTGTGAGAATAACTAATACTTGCTGCATATGTAATGTTAGTAATGCTGATTTAATTTTATTTCTTTTTTTTTAATCTCCCATGTACGGAGAGATAATATGGGTGGGAGAGGGAGAACAGTTGTGTGCTTATCTGTCTCACATTTATTGGCATCATGTCATTCTAGAAAATAGCTACTACACCAGGCGCATCCCCCTTGCTTAAATATTTCTTAGTTCCCTTCAGGGTTCTTTCTTGCAGAAGACATACAGTAATAATTTGAAATGTGACAATTTTGCTTGTGGCAATGCTTGTGTCAAATCACTGAAGCTTAAAAAAGGCAGGTCTAAGAAGTAATTTCTCTGTTGCTTTTGTTTGGTTGGTTTTTTTTGTTTTTTAATTATGTAAAGTCTGTGGTAACATGATTGAGCTAGTAATTCATTCTTGAAATCAGTCAATAAATTCAGAAGATATGTAGTGAAGACTGAGATTTCTTCTTGTTGTTGCTTACTTTTTTTGTAATATACATAGGTTAATATTTATCGGCTAGTCACAAAGGGATCAGTAGAAGAAGATATTCTTGAAAGAGCCAAGAAAAAGATGGTGTTAGATCATCTAGTAATTCAGAGAATGGACACTACAGGGAAAACTGTACTACATACAGGCTCTACTCCTTCAAGGTATGTTTGTATTTATTGCCATACCAATTTACCATTAAGTATATTTGACAAGTAAGTAAAAACGTAAGTTGCTTCACTTGTTTAACTAAAGGCAAAATAAGGTTTAAAAAGTAAAGATGTGAAGTATATTGTCTTATACATATTATATAGATTTTTATATGCATATTATATATTAAAAATATATGTAATTTTTATTTTAACAGTAAAAAGAAAGTTTAATTGACTCGTGATTATGAAGAACTTTTTCAAGTTACTAAGATAAAATGTTTTTCCTCAAACACACTTTGTTTCAGCTCAACACCTTTTAATAAAGAGGAGTTATCCGCGATTTTGAAGTTTGGTGCTGAGGAACTTTTTAAAGAACCTGAAGGGGAAGAACAGGAGCCCCAGGTAAAGTAGTGTTTCTGGACTAGATAGATAATATAATAACTGAAAATATGTATTAGTTACTTCATTGTAAAGAGAAACTTCTTTTTTAGGAAATGGATATAGATGAAATTTTGAAGAGGGCCGAAACTCGGGAAAATGAGCCAGGTCCATTAACAGTGGGAGATGAATTGCTTTCACAGTTCAAGGTATTGGTCTTTTCTTTCCCTCCTGCATATTACACTTTCCTTTATAAACAGTACTATCTTTCTTCTGTGTACCTATCTGTCTCTTCATTCTTAAGAAGTAGATGCCTCAGTAAGTCAAATCTGCATCTCTTTCTAATAAAATGTTTTTTCATCTATACAGAGTACCAACCATCAGTATACAAATTTTAAAATAGATTCTGTATTTTGCTAATAAAATGAGAGGTATTTATTAATGTGTGATCAGAATTCCAGGTAGTTTTGTGGTTTGTTTACTGACTTTGGTATCACTGAACACAAAATACGAAGTTTGCATTTCTTGGTTGATGAATTCTCAAAATGGTTTTTAGCCCTGAAGTAAACTTGAGTACAACGTATTTTGAGTGTTTTCAGTTAAACATATTATAATCTGAGTGCAAAAAAAATGCAGAACTGGAGGTATTTGTTTATATCAGCAGATTATTAAATTGCTCTCCTGCTGATGAATCATTTGCAATATATTTTGGTTTCTACAGTGTATTAATGTTCGATTTGTTTTACATTATTATAGTTTCACATTAACTCAGGCATTCAAATGTTGTTAGCCCTATTTTGAAGAAAGATAAACAGCAATCTTACAGCTACTGGAAAGGTGTTTAATCATGCATCGGTAATAGCGACTTTTAAAAGAAGAAAAAGATTCTCATCTTTACTCATCTTAGCCCGTGTTGCGAGGAGTCTCATGTCTCTTTCATAAATGATTAAAAATACTTTCCTTAGGGACAGTGTTTTATGAAGTATTTTCTATGTATAAATTTTATACATATTATAAAACAATAACATCAAATATGGAAGTACATAAAATATGCCGTCTAGACCTTAGTTTTCCTAAAATACTAGTTGATTAAACTTTTTCAAATGAAGTCATGTATCGGTTTGTTGAAAATACATATAATCTGATATACAAGGTGGCCAACTTTTCCAACATGGATGAAGATGATATTGAGTTGGAACCAGAAAGAAATTCAAGAAATTGGGAAGAAATCATTCCAGAAGTCCAGCGGCGAAGAATAGAAGAGGAAGAAAGACAAAAAGAACTTGAAGAAATATACATGCTCCCAAGGATGAGAAACTGCGCAAAACAGGTGTCTCTTGGTTCTGACTGACTTGTACTTTCATGTTGCTGTTGGTTTAGTGAGTTTGTTGGGGGTTATCATTGGGTTTTGGTTTTGGTGTTTTTTCGTCCTTTTCTGAACACGTTTTTGACAGGCTGTATAAAACTTTACTTATGTTTGTTAATGGTGTAGCTTTTATCTGACATTCCAGATCAGCTTTAATGGAAGTGAAGGGAGGCGGAGTAGGAGTAGAAGATACTCTGGATCTGATAGTGACTCCATCTCAGAAAGGAAACGACCAAAAAAGCGTGGAAGACCACGAACTATTCCTCGAGAAAATATTAAAGGATTTAGTGATGCAGAGATCAGGCGGTAAGATATGGGGGGACATGAATATTTAAAGGGACAAGACGTGATGATGCTTGAAAGTACAAAGAAATTCAGGAAGAATAGACTGCCTTCTGAAATTTTTTTTGTTCTAGGCATTTAATGTTTCACCTTGTGTGGTCCTGACATAGTTAACTGTCATAGCAAGAATTTGAACCCATTTTAACAAGGGATAAAATTAGGTTTGAAAAATATTCTTGATTGTTTTACATTTCTTAATTCCTGCAACCCATGAAGATGGTGATTTCAAAAAGGTTACAATGGGTAAGCTTTTCCTTTAACATACAAGCAAAGTAATCTGCTTCCCATTATTTTATTTACTACAGTGCTGAAAGAATATGTAAATCTTTTTCGTGACAACTACAAAAATTTGAGTGGATTTTGTTTCCTTTTTAGATTTCTTGACACAAGGTGAATTAATTTTGTATCATGCTTTTTTAAACTAAAAAAATGTAAAATCCTGTTTGAATCCTGTACAGCAAGTGCCTTCAATATTTGGTGCTAAAATATCTTTTGGGGTTGAAGAAGGAGGGATTTTTTTTTTTCCTACCTTTTTGGGGTTGTGAAATGTTGCGTTGTTTCTGAAATTTAAGTATGCATATTTGTCTGAAGTGCTGTAAAGCTTTTGAAGTATTTTTTGTTAGAAAATAACTTTAAAGACTCTCTTTGCCTTTCTATTTCATTTAGCAACACACTCAATTGGTACTTCTTCCAAAGGCTAATACTGTGCTTGCGCTAGCATTTGAGGCCTTGATTGTTGAGGAAATTTTCTTTCTTTTTAAAATTATTTTTATTTATTTTATTTCAGTTCTATCCCAGTTATCTCCAGTTTCTTTCCATCGCTTCTACATTGCTACAGAGAGTGGTTTTTTTTTCATGTCATGTCTTCCAAAATCCTCAAATTACCTGTTGCAAATTGCTCCTTTTACTATATAAGGCATAACATAATGTCCATTTACTGTAAATCCACATTAAATTTTTATGATTAGATACATCCAGCTGCTGAATCTTGTGTCTTCTGAAATTAATAAAGTGATTTCTGAAATAAATTGTACTTTCTATTGGTTTATTTACATTAGTTCTTAAACCATTGAAACTGATTTTGTGGGGGTTATCTGGATATACGAAGCTGCCCTACTTTATGGATTTTTTTCCATTGTCTACCTAGCATTGTACTAGGATTAGTAATTGTATTAATACAATTGTGAAACTAATGTAGGTAGCTAAGCATATGTTTAAAAGGCAGTATTATTTTCTATTACTAGGTTTATCAAGAGTTACAAGAAATTTGGTGGCCCCCTCGAAAGGTAAACCTGTTTCGTTATTAACAACTTGGAATCTTGTTCTCATAAGAATTCAAGCAATATACCAAGAAATCTTACGCTGAAGAGAAAATAAAGTGTCTAGTCTTTTGTCTTGAATATAGCATGATTTTAGGTTAGTATCTTCCCCTTCTCCATCTATGGTATGTGTGCAAAGAGCCACACAACAAACCTTTTAATTTGCAGGAGTATTTATTCTCTTTATACTTTACCTTCTGTCTCGTTTAATCTTCATTGGTGATAATCATTCAACTGTCCTGTTTGATAGCCTGTTTGAAAGCCTGTCAGTTTATCTACTGTGACTATGAAAGTTAGTTTTGCATTTTCCTTACTGTCAGTTCTTATTTTTAAGCTTGCTATATTCCATATTTCAAGAAAAACTTCCCTTCCTTACATTCCTTAAAAATACTTATGGTCTGTATGAACTTACTATATATAATGATTCCTTTCTTTTTAAAATAAATGCACAGTAACTTAACACTGTCTGGTTAGGGTGCTTTTCAGTTTTTGTTGTATTGTCTTCTAATACATGAATCACACTTTTTTTTTTTACTATTTTTTTTTCCTCCTAGGATCAAAATTGTACACAGCATAGCAAGTGTGATAACTTAAATGATCGTTTCTCTAGTTTCAGAGTCTGAAGGAGTCATTCACAATTACTGAAATTTCAGAGATATTAAAATGTGTATCTGTTTTATTACAGGTTAGATGCTGTAGCTAGAGATGCTGAGCTAGTTGATAAATCAGAGATAGATCTTCGACGTTTGGGAGAGCTTGTACATAATGGATGCATTAAAGCTTTAAAGGACAATTCATCTGGACAAGAAAGAGCAGGTACAATGTTCAGGGAGCTTAGGAGTCAATAAAAAATGTCAAGTCTGAATTCTTGCATTCTGATCATAAGAGAAAACAGTTTTGTTGGGGGAAAATATAAAGAAAAATGTTGGCATGCTGGGTAATTTTTAAAAAGGGCTATGGTAAGGTGACTTTTAATTTCCTTTTCTGTATGTGAATCATCATTGGAGACAGCCATATGTCTTTGCTTTACTGTGAAACTAAAATTAATTTGTTATTTGGAAGACCTTTTGATTCTGGAACTTAATTTAAGCATTTGGCTAAGAAAAAGTCATTTGGTATAAGTGAAAGTTTGCTGATACAGCATCAGTCTTGTTTTCTTTACTACTTTCTGTGTGATATTTGTAAAGGTAAATATTTTAATAGCTTTGTCATTTATTTTAAGGAGGAAGACTTGGGAAAGTTAAAGGCCCGACATTCCGAATCTCAGGAGTGCAAGTGAATGCAAAGCTGGTTATCTCTCATGAAGAAGAGTTGGCACCATTGCACAAATCCATTCCTTCAGATCCAGAAGAAAGAAAAAGGTATTGATTTTTGGTTCTTTAGTTTGTTTTTTTGGGGGGTTTGGTTTTTTGGTGGGGGTTTTTTCTGTTGTTTTTTTTTGGTTTTTTTTTTTTAGGATGTAGTCATGTTGAATCTTTTTCAAGTTTTATTAGCTTTGTTTCAGGTAACTTTGACTCAAAAGCACACTGTAACAGCATTGTCCTCTATTCCCTGTAAGGACTGGCATCATCAACATGCTCCACATCTTTTCTTCATTCTTTCTTCCCTTGCTGTGGAAGCCAGTAACAGCTTTGGCTTCCCAATTGTATTCACTGGGGGCTGTATTCAGTTAGCAGTAATAATTAGAATTAGAATTCAGGCTTGCTGAGGAGCTCCTGTATGTGTCGTCTCTGCTTGAGGGGAAAGCAGTAGTTGTTTCTACTCCCTGAACATTTTCCGTTCCCTCCTTATGTTTCACAATCCCTAAACTATCCGCTTAGTTAGCAGTTACACTACATGACGATTTTTATTCTTGCTCATGGTTAGCTAACTCTGTGACAGAGCTCATGGTCACAGACAGATGTGTGTTCTTCATATTTTAGTCTTGGTCAGCTTTAAAGCACATTTCAGTGCTGATTTCAGTAAATGTTTTATAGAAATCTTAAGAAAATGTGATGATAAATATTTTTGTTAATTTCCTAAATATACCAACATCTTAGCAGAGAAAATAAACCTAGTTAGATCACTTTTAGTATGTTCTTTTCTAAACGTCAGAAGTAATAATCCCTTGTCTTTTTAACTTATTTCTGTTAGATACGTCATCCCATGCCACACCAAGGCTGCTCATTTTGATATCGATTGGGGTAAGGAAGATGATTCCAATCTGTTGATAGGCATCTATGAGTATGGTTATGGCAGCTGGGAAATGATAAAAATGGATCCTGATCTTAGTTTGACACAGAAGGTATGTCATCCACACTTTCTGAAGGATTATTTTTTTTTTTGTTTACATAATAATGCCACTAAGAACGAATACTGAAAGAACTTATTTTATGATAACTGAAATTGCGGAGACTTTATACATCAGTTGTACTTCTTAGTATTCTTCTTGTGGTATATTGTTAGATTTTAAGGTCTTGTGTGTTCGGTTTAAGTGTTCTTTCTTGCAGTCAGTTTTGTTGACCTATATCCATGTAGCTGGACCGCTGTCATTTGCATTTTTTCAGTCTTCTCCTTCTCTATTTTAACTGTTCTAGTTTTGTCCATTATGTGTTCTTGATCTTTTGGAAAGGAGGTTATTCTAGATTTGATTTTGTTTCCCCATCCCTACTTAATCCCGAGGTTCCTCACTTGAAGTTGTCTTTCACTCACAATATGAGAATAGCTGTACTAAAATGAGTGCAGTAGCTCCTTAGCAATAATCAGCAACACGTATTGAGAAAAAGATTGAGATGAGGTAAACTTTGTGACTGTGGCAGCAAGCTATGGGTTTGGGATTTGAGGAGCTAGGGTTGTGTCCAAATTAATTTAATAATGATTTCTGCTTCTGCCTTCCATTAGTGTTTTGAAACCACCTATTTATGGTTTTGGCATCTGCAATGACATGTAGTGAATTTAGTGTTTAGAAGATGAATGAGGCAGAGCCAAGAGTTCTGTTGATGATAGGTACAGGAGTTAAATTTCTTAATTAACTTTCTTAAGTAAGTTTCTTATAAATGTCTTAATTAAACTATCAGAATGGAAACAGAAATCTGAGGCTGGTTTCCTGACTTTGTTTTAAACTGTGAGGTAATTTCCAAGACTGCATTGTCTGTGTGATTGGAGAGAAATTAAAACCTTTAAAAAATTCTCCATTGCTTCAAACATGCTGGCATATTTGCCAGGCATAGTTGAAAAGGATTGTTTCCACCTTTTATGCCGCTTTTTCAGTTCTATGTGCTGCAGGGTAGCATCTTCCAAACCTGAAAATATGTACTGAAAGCTGTTATACTACCATTATTCTCCTTAGATTTTACCTGATGATCCAGATAAGAAACCGCAGGCGAAGCAGTTACAGACCCGAGCAGACTACCTCATTAAGTTACTTAACAAAGACCTTGCAAGAAAGGAAGCACAAAGGCTTGCTGGTGCAGTAAGTAAAATTTGGCATTCATTATTGAGATAATATGCTTATGGGCATGTCAACTGGCCCTTTTTTAGTTCTGTACTTCTTTGTAGTATTACTCTGCATTACAAATCATATGTAATACAGAGTGTCATGTAATGACACTTAACTCGAGAAATTAATTGCAGTTTCATACTGAATTTTTCTCTTACTATTTGTATGTATTCTCTACTTTTGCACTATGCCCCTTCTCCAGTCCTGAGAAAAGTGGTGGTAATGAATGGCAATAAATCAATTTAAACAAATCTCTTTTTTTTTCTGGCAATTGTGGTGCAAAGATACATGTCAGTTTCATATTAAAGAGACCAATTTGCATTCAGGGCAATTCAAAGAGAAGGAAAACAAGAACTAAGAAGAATAAGGTGATGAAGGCTGCAAAAATTAAAGAAGAAATAAAAAGTGATTCATCACCACAACCCTCAGAAAAATCTGATGAAGATGATGATGAGGATAACAAGGTAAACATCTTTTCATACGGTAAAGATGGCTATTCGGTTCTTCCTGCTAGGATTGATTTCTATTTTATGTGTTGTTTGGCTTAGTAAAATGGAAGCACCTGAAAGTTATCCATTTCCTGTGGCCAGTACAGCTAATGTTGCATCAGTACAAGCACATGGAAGACTGTATCTATTTTAATTTAGCGATAAGCCAGTAACTTAAGAATTGCAAGTAATTTTCAAAATGACATTCTAAAAAACGTTGTGGTCTAACAAACCTAATGCAACACACAATTATAAAATAATGTGTTAAACAACTGATAGTGATTCTTCAGGTAAAATTTTTTATTCAGGCTCAGGAAAAAAACATCAATCTCAATTAGAATGAGCACCATGAATAGATGATACTTAAACACTTGCATGTTAAAGCTTCTGTGTATGTCATGGCTTTCATTATCCAAGAAGACTATTTAGCCAACTATTTAACGTTGTAATGTTCTGTAAGTTCTGATGTTTCTTTAGGCCTCTACTTTTGTTTCATCTTTTTATTTCTAACACTAATTACACAGCAGTAACCACTAGAGATGAAAATTTAAGTGAAGTTCGGGGTCATGTCACAGCTAATTTCATGACTTTGATAGTAGCTTAAATAAATCTGTGCAAATCTATATGTATCATTAAAATACTTCAGTTTAAAATAAACTGAAGTGTCTCACAACCATTTTAAACTATTACAAGTCATTGTGATTGTCATCTCACTGTAGGTATAGTGAATACATGGAAGACACAGTGAATACATTGTTAAAACCAAGTCAACCTTAGAAGAACCATCTATTAAAAAAAAATAGTAATTTTAAACTAAATCATTTCTGTATGTATTTAAACCCTACTATGGAGTTTAAAATGTAAAACTGGGGAAAAAATTAAATAAATTGAATGTAGAATGGCTTAACATGGGCAACTGAATCGTAAAACTAAATTAAATGCTCAGACTACTTAAAAAATGAGTGTTTGACTTAATCTCCACTCAAAACAGTAGACATTGCTAGTCAGTTGATTCACTTATGTTTTGGGAAGGTGCCTAGAATGCTGTCCTCCTTTGCATACTTAATAACACACATTCATCACTAATATTTTCAGGCACAGACTAACAGTTGCACTTCTGAAAACTGGAGTATATGCAAGAATGGTCTTCAACCACCTGAACAGTTGGCTTTAGCTGCTTAGCTGCAATACTGTGTGCAATATTTAAAACTTAACTGTTTAACTGCTAGAATGTTCAGGAAGCTCTTGGAGTTGTTGGATTTTTGCAGGGAAGTTTCCACGATACCTAAATACTGAAGTCCTGGTTGGGCTGATTACTCAATACTTAATCTAAGTAACTTGTTTGGATTCATGTATTAGATATTCTTTTATCTGTTATTCTGCAACAGATTCTATATATGCCTTTCTAGGATGTACTCAAATAAATTCAAAGATCATTATGATTCTTGCTCCTGTACGTAATACTTTTGTTGCTATAGTATTTTTGCATGTCTGAAAGGATTTGAGTTTCCATGTCAGACCCTACAGGTGGATGTTATAAAGACCAGTGGAGCGATTCTTTGTTCACCTTCAGATAATTAAATGGGCCCCTGTCAGACTAATCTGTAACTAAGACTTTTTAAGCCTAGTAAAAAGAACACCTCTGGAAAAGAGAAAGCTGGGACTCTGTTACTTCTGTGAATGCTTAATAATGGTAAAAAGTGGCTGGAACAGAGCTAACTAGAACAGAGGTCTTTTAACATCTGCATCACTTGAGTGTCCTGGCCAATCAGCTCAGTTTTGTGACACCTGTTTACTTACAGTTTTTAGCTGTTCAGAGCCTAACTACCTTTTAGAGTGACAGAATTCTAAGTTAAATTGACGTAATTTCTCACCTCCACTACCACTGCCAAATCAGTACTTTGCTTTGTCACATCAAGGAAGTGAATGAGTAGTTCTCACCTTAGAACTGAATGCAGTTTCAATCTGATACATGTTAAAAATCTATGTCCGAAAAGAAAAAAAAAATGCACAGATAAAAATATGTTTTAATCTGACAGTTACAAAACTTTGTATAGATAGGAACTCAGTTGATGTGACATATATGCTTGCGTATTGCAGGATGAGATTGTTTCAGTGAAACATCCACATAAAAAAATTAAAGCAGAAAAAGAAAATGAAGAAAAGCCTGAGCCAGATATTGGTATAAAGAAGGAAGCTGAAGAAAAAAGAGAGACAAAAGAAAAGGAAAATAAGAGGGATTTGAAAAGGGAGAAAAAAGAAAAAGAGGATAAAAAAGAATTAAAAGAAAAAGATATTAAAGAAAAGAGAGAAAACAAAGTAAAAGAATCTACTCAGAAAGAAAAAGAAGTAAAGGAAGAGAAGGTAACTAGGTTTACTTATCTTGTATAGTACTAGAAAAGGCCACTAGGTTTATGTGAATGATTCTGAGATTAAAACGTATTTTGGATCTTACCAGTTGTCATTTCATTGAAGTCTTTTACATAATTTGAAGTTTTATTTTTTACCACCCGAAACCATGATGACAGGCATTTGAAATGGGAAATTACGCCTTCAGTAATAACGTATTTTATTTGGACTGAAAGTACAAGTGTGTGCGAGAAATTCTTCTATTCAATTTCCATTCTCCTTTTCCATCCCACAAAACAAGTAAAATGTACTGTCATTGAATGTCAGCATAGTGTTTATTCTTACTGTTGAAAAGAATGCAGTAGTTATGGGGATTGTTGTGTATTATAAGAGAATTCCAGAACCAAAATAAAATTTACTTAGATATTTTTATATCTTGTTCTTAGGTAAATGAAGTAAAGTCTGAAAATAAAGAAAAACCTAAAAAAACGCCATTGTTGGATACTCCAGTTCATATTACTGCAACTAGTGAACCAGTTCCAATATCAGAAGAATCTGAAGAACTAGATCAGAAAACATTTAGTGTGGTAAGTCCCTGTTTGATAAGTTAGTGTTTATAAGAGGACAATTTCTGGTGTTCTTGATTCTGTTATTGGGCACAATAACACAGGTTTTCTTTTGCTAGTATAGTCTCATATGCATGAATGTTACTGATACTGGACAAAAGTAATTTTTGTCTTCATCCCATCAGTTTACTGTATTTATTAAGCATTTATCCCTTGGTCTGTCTGCTGAATAGATTTAGAATATAGACTTAAAAAGTATGTCCTCAAGAATAACTTCTTGAGTTATTTTTTAAAGAGTAGACATCAATGACCTTCAGTTCAACTGCTAGAGTCTCTGGCTTTGCTTTATCATGTACGCCTTTATTCTTTGTAAGCTAAAGAGAAATTAAGTTTTAGCAGTTCCATTCGGAAGTATTACAGACTTAAATTAGTAGACGCAGGAAGGACAAACGCTAAGGCCCATACAAATACGTTGCTGGAGTAATGTCTCTGACAACAAAATAATTTTGTTTAATCACTACTTCTGACTAATAAAAGAATCAATATTAGAGGAAAAAAGGTACGTATGCACAACTTATGTAAATTTTATAGGTTGACTGGGTCCTTTGGAGAGGTATTAATGAGTCTCTTTGAGCAGCTATTCTCCTGTGGATGTTTTGTCATTCAAGATTTCAACAGTTGTTTGTTTTTGCCAGGCAGGCTTATTGGGGTTGTTGTGGGTGCTGGTTGTGACATTCAAGTAAGATTCTCTTGAGTATGGTAGTGACAGGTCTATGTATGGTTTTACTCTAAACATTCAAGTAACTCAGCTGTGATTTCCAGGATGAGTCTCAAGTGATTCAGGTGGATATGTTTGTGTGGCTAAGTGAAGAAAATCACTTGATTTCCATGTACAATTCTATTTTTCTGTATTCAAGCAGTGCACTCTTCTAAAGTAAGCCATCTTCTGAAGGACAACTTAAAGCTGTGTCTCGTGCAATATGCAGTGCAGCTCCTTAATTAATTAGTGGCATGAGCTGGCAATGGAATAGCTTCCCTAGTTATCCCTAGATGCTCGCATGGTAATGGTGATACTAAACTTCATTCCATTACAATGATTTGTCTTGTCTTTTCTTTAAAAAGTGTGGGTTGTTTTTTGGGGGGTTGTGTTTTGGTTTTTTGGTTTGGGGTTTTTTTTTTTAATTCATGTTTGGGTTTGTGGTGGGGTTTTTTTGGTATGTTTTGGTTTTGTTTGTGTGGATTGTGGTTTGTTTTTTTGGTTTTTATCTATAGGCTTCCTTTTGTTTTTACTGGGAGTAATTCTAGGTTGGTTCTCTGTATAGGAAAGCATTTCTTTGTCCAGGCTTTTTTTTCTGGAATGTATTTTTATCACTATGCCATGGTCAAATGCAGTCTACTCAGCATATTTAACTACATTTTCAAATACAAATTGCTACTGTAGGTTATTGAGGCTTAACTGATTTGGCTCTTTGTGACAAGGGGAATATGCATTTCTTCATCTGTTTACCATACTGTTGTAGTTGGATGGTATTCCTAACCAAATGTCTGTAATTGAAATTGTGCTAACTAGTTTTGTCTGGATTTATTATTAAAATATCTGAATCAAAGTGTGAAAATTTAGGAACTCACATATGACATGTATCTGCATTGGCATCGCTGTTGTTACTAATCTAAGCATACCCAAACTAGCTTTACTCTCAATAGCACAAGTTCTCCTAGAATCTGAGTAGGACTGAAGTTTTAAAACTGCTTGGAGAAGCGATGTTGATCCTCTGCTGAATGCCTGGTTTAATTTGCAGAAAGTACCTTTTTGAAATGTTCTGAACACTCATATTTAATTTTGATGTTGAGTTAGTACAGCTTTCAAGGTGCTAAAAAGTTTGTCTTGACCCATATGCTTGTGCTGAAAGCTTTGATTGTAAAACTCAGTTGTAATAAGTCCTTTCCCTTAGGAAATCCCTTATATTAAATTAGTGATTTCTTACATCTTTGATATCTGTATTTTATATAATCTAATGCTTTCATAGAGGAGTAAATTTCCAGGGGATTCAAAATACATCTTTTTCCAAAGGAAACCTGTAAAAGATTTTGAAGAGCTGTGAACAAGTCTTGTGTTTCATTTGGCTTGTAACAATACTGGCCTTGCCTGGGTATATCACAGTAAAGGGTGGGTGATAGTTTAGAATTTTCTTTTCCTTTGAATTAATACATTACTTGTTTCCATTTTACAGTGCAAAGAAAGAATGAGGCCTGTCAAAGCAGCATTGAAACAGCTGGATAGACCAGAGAAGGGCCTTTCCGAAAGAGAGCAGCTGGAACATACTAGGCAGTGTCTAATCAAAATTGGGGATCACATTACTGAATGTCTAAAGGAGTACACAAATCCTGAACAAATTAAACAGTGGAGAAAGTAAGTTATTCTCCATGTTTTTTCTTGAAAAAGGAAAATCTATAATTGGTTCTATTGGGCAGAGTAGCTTTTAATTATTTCTCTCATTTCTTTTTTCCCTTTCCGGTATCTTTCTCATGTTTTAAATAGGAATCTATAAAAAGAAGATTATAGATGGTTCTGATTTTTAATGGACTGGCTTTTTCATACTGCATACCAATGCATTTTGCCCATTAGGTGGAGTCATCTCGTATCTTAAAACTGAAAGCAAACGCTTTAAAATTCCTGAGGCAAATTGAGCTTTGTATGATACTGAGTTGCAGAATTCTTTATTCTTTTAAAAATATACTCTAAAATTAAATTATATGTTAACTATGACTTGAATCTTGTTTTTATCATGATGTACTCAGATATATTTAAAAAATGAAAGTAGCGTTTGCATCTTTAGGAGGTGAAAAAAAATAAGAAAAATATTTTGGTTTGTAAACTTTTTCATTAAGTTCTTAATGCAGTTTGGGTTACTTTTGTCAGAATATGCACTTCAATATTTTTATGGTTGAAAATACAGCCTGTTCTTCCATATACAAAAATCTGTTAAGTGTTTCATTTTCTCGGAAACTTCTGCTTCTGTAGAATGCTTCTGCTGGTTTTACTTGCTTTAGTTCAAAATATTAAGGTGATCTGAGATATAAAACCCAGATCCACGTCTTACATTTTGGTAAATGTTACATTTCTTGAAGTGGAAACTCAGAGCTATTCTTTTTTATAATGCCACAATGTTATATAAAGATTAATAAAATATGTATTTCAGCTATCTTTGATAACAAGTGTAATTAAGATACTTAGCTTACATAAAGTTATACAGGTATCATTAGGCACACCATTGATTGGTTGTCTACTTCTGCAGACTTCTAGACCAAAATGTCAGTGTTATGGCAAAGAAGAAGATTGTTGCTTCGTGAGCTTGCACACTTCAGATGCTTCTGAACACTAGACTGTAGTCTCTTTTAAGCATTCCACCTGTAAATCTTAGTAACAAAAAATCTAGGCTTCACATCTGTTATCTGTAGAAGGAAATTACTGCTTTAGAGGTTTGACATCTTGACGGCAAAAGACGATTTGTTCCTCTTTCACAGTTCTTCTTTCATTTCAAAGGTTTGACCAGGTTTTGGAATTCTGTGGAAAAATTCTCTCTGATATTTTCATGCAGTAAGGTCATACGTCTTACACTGTAAGAGATTTCAATTTTGAAAGTATTTTTACTGACTTTACAATAGTTTTTATTTACTGAGTGGTGAATACTCATTCAAACAACCTTTCAGAAGACATTCATAAATGGATAGCTACATTTTTATGCAGCTTCACAAGTCATTCTAAACATGATTGTTATTAGTGCTACTTTCCGTCCACTTTGCATTCTGAAGTATTTACGATAAATATTAAGTAGTGGCAAATGCTAAGGGAGTTAATCTTTCAAATATTTCAAATACAGCTACGTAGTGTTCGCTGTGCAGCTAGGCAATACTGTGTTATTTCAGTGTTTCTGGTTTGCTGAAGTACTGCTGTTCAGATAATTTCAATTAAATCCATGTTCTGATGCATAATACAAGAAAAATGTATAAAAGAATTATATCTTCTTTTCTTCTTCCTCAGAAATTTGTGGATTTTTGTCTCTAAGTTTACAGAATTTGATGCCAGAAAGCTGCACAAACTGTATAAACATGCAATCAAAAAACGTCAGGAGTCTCAGGTAGTATTTTCAAACCTTTTCTAAAAATTCAAGTATGTATTTTAAATATTATAACACTTCTGTATGCACCCTCAGCAAGTTTGCTGATGACAC